GAATCCAGGAAGTAACATTATTGTGAAGATGAAGCAGCCGATAAACAGCTTATATGTAAATACCTTGAATATGCAACGACGCAAGCGCTTCTTGTTGACGAGAACTGCAAGGCGGCATGATCAATAGCGGCAAATATGTGGGTGCCATAGGCCGGGTCGAGCCTCGCCGCCGAAGCCGGACAAGTTCCGCGTGGTTAACACTGTTTATACCCAGTCGATGTCCTCTCTGGGAACTATTTTATTATAAATATAAAGGTAGCTATTTTACCGTTGCAAATTGTAAAGGCTATCGCCGTCCCTAATCGTTACACCAATTTGGGTGTTGCGTTTTCATGTGTACATGCAGTCCCCGCGCTGAAGCCGCCATGTTCCGAAGTAATAGTTCGCTGCAAGCCTAGTATTATCAAAGTTTTTTTTAACGAAAATTGTGTGAAACAGACACCGGCTTGTCCCCCAACCCGGATGAGACTATGGGCTTGTCTTGCTCCATAGCCTATTGCCAAAGGCGTCTGCCTTTTAACCATTGTTATCAATGTTGTTGGAAACAAGTGCAAGAGTCCTGGACTGAGGTGGGTTTTTGTGAAAGAGGGCCTCCGTACATTCAGGTGAACTTAATGTGAAGTGACCATACGGTGTTCTCTTGACGCAGCCGGGCTGTCCAACAATTCAATATTGACACCCAGTTAGAATGGTGGGAGATGTCAAAACAGTTATAGCGATGTTTGTTCGCATTGATATAGCACAGATGGCTAAATATGTCAATTCCGTTTGTTTTCTCAAGTCCCATGCCTGGAAGAGTCGTTCCAAGCCAACATTAAACATACTTTTAACGTATGATTTCCTAAAGGCAGTTTGCTACAGCGATGTTTTTTATTATTATTACGGGCTTCCCACCATTTAGCTTTGCCTTTGGTAGGTGTCAGTCTGCCTTCTATTATCAAGCCATGCGGATCTTGAGCCCAGGTCTACGTTACACTAGCAGCCATGGTCCTCTGTAATGTTCCTAGCCTTGATAATCCTTCCAATGTCATACCTCACGCTGAACTTGTTTATGAATGTCTCCGTACAATTGCGTACAGGTAAGTCCACGAGCCTTGCAAGCGTAGCCTTGCACTGTCAATTTTGTGTGAACTGTAATTAGGTCGAGCATGCCGTCGTCTCGTGAGCGCATACTTGCTGTGGCTTTATAAGCCAATAGGCGTGCACCGCGCCACCAGTCTGCCGTTTTATGCGGCGGTTAACTCCACCGTCTGCAGATGCAGTAGCGTACATACGGCCGGCCGACTGCCGTTGCAAAAGAGCTGAAATCTAACGGTCGTTTACCGTTACGCTTGGCGCGCCGGTGTTGGCCTGGGTGCTTGGGGCATTGACGTGACTCATCAAGCTCTGATGCGGTATGGGACTGGCGTGGGGTGAAGCTGACCGCAATCCGGACTGATTGTCCGAAATTAGCGTTCCGCTGATCCATCTTAACGGAAAAGACCAATGCGCAGCATCACCCCCTCCCCCGCTACAAAAAAAAAACACACCGCGCGAGCTAGCTGAGTCAGTCGCGCATCCTCTCCCCCCCCCCCTCTCCTCCCTCGGAAGGCGACATCTGGCGACCATCCACCGGAAGATCAGTGGCGATAGCCGGAACCCGGCGGACGCGAGCGCAGCCAACGTGACGGCCCTGCAGAGCCGGCGCCGCGGCGCGGCGGCCCTCGACCTTGGCCGTGAGGAGCGCGCGGCGCGTGGCGGCGGGCGCGGGTGGCCGTGCCGCGCGAGGCCGTTACCCCGCCATTTTTACGGCGCCTCCGTGTCCCGCGGCCTAGCAGAAAAAGAGCGCGCCGCTGCTAATGGCCCACCGGGCGGGCCATGCCCGAGACCGATCGCTACTCTGCGAGGGACACAGGCCTGGGGAGCAGAGGACGCGGCGACAAAGACGCTCGGTCGTGGGACTAATTCAGGACCAGGGGATCTCGATCGTCACGGTACCCTTTGTCGGACCTTTTTGTAATTTGGCTGGTAAGGGCTGGCAGGTTTGGGAAATTACTTTTTGAAGGTCATGCTGTCATCTTTGTCGTGGGAAGTGTACTGAACACATGCTTTTGTGGCTTTATGTTCATTGCTTTATGCTTTATGTTGATAAACGGTCTTTTTCATAGGCGTAAATGCACCAACATTCACCGATTTCGTCGTTACTTGACCCGATGAGGTTCGATGGTTGAAGCAGTCGCGCTTGAGACGATGGATGTACATCGATCTGATTATTTACCAATCCATGCGACATTGGGCCGTAGCTCTGCGCTCACGTCGTGACGTGATGTTGCAAAAAGGACTTTCATGCTGGAGAAGGCTTTTGACGAACGTATTCTATTTTTAATGATTCCTTAAGGTAGACAAAAATCACGTTTAATACATGTAAAATGCATAAGCGGTAGCGTCGACATGCATTAGTGGGACTTTCCCAAATGGAGTCTAATTAGGACAATATTACTGTGGAATTACATTCAATGACTCGCTGTGTTGTAACAACGTCTCAATACAGCTGCTTGCTGGGCTCATTTGGTGTGTTTCTCAGTAGCTGGCCCACGCGCGTGTTTCATTCCTCTGACAGCTTCACTGACAATGTAGCATAGCTAGCTGATACGTCTTCGCATATTTTGACCTACGCATTTTGACCTACGCTTGGTATTATATTATTACTTACCACGTCTACAATGGTGCTTTAACCGTTGCTTTACTATCGGCTGCAGCTGGATCAGTTCGGTGACGGTTGCTAGCCTGTATACCGTGTCGGGTGGTGGGCAGCTCTTACGTCAGCGGGGGATCAGCACTCAGCTGATGTTTCGGCCACAAGCCCCGCTCAGCGCCGTGCGAGCTTCACCACACGGAACAGGACTTATGGCGGAAATGTCTGTTGATCCCCTCCTCTTATTGGAGCTGCCCACCACCTCATACGGTACACAGGTCAACAACCGTCAGGAAGGCCTTCAAAAATACCGTAAACCACCATCTACCAGAGTCGCTGAGAACGTGATCAACTTACGCCGCAATAGAGCCAGCTAGTTACCATTATTCGGTCAGTTGGGTTTGTCCAGATTTCTTAGGTATACTTTGCTTCCGGGCACACCATTGTGGCATGAAACAGTACGAAAACATAACAATGATGCATAACTTCCGAACGGAGAAGAGATCCTTTTCTAGGACGTCTGTTGCACTACCTGTTCCCTGCCTCATTACAGACTGACACGTAGCCCATCCGGTTAAAAAGGCTTTGAAAGTTCAACTACCTTTGAGAAATAAACGGAGGTGGTACGCTCGTTCCAGTCATCCGAGTTCATCGATGGTCTTAATCCCCGCCCGACGAAGAAATCTAAAGACCGCAGGATCCTGAAGGTTTCTGAAAGACATTTTACAATCTCCTGGAGTTTTTTTTAGGATCGTTTCACAAGTATCTCCCACATTTTGCGCGCAAATTAAGAAACCTACCCTGGACATGTGAGGAGTAAAGGTGTATTTGTTGCGATAATTATGTCGGACACATTCCGCATTCTTGCACCCGATAAAGTATGTTTGTTGTGAAAGATACATTCTAAAGCGCTTTCTGTGTTTGTTTCCTGTGCTCTACCGCACAGTACGATGATGCGATTCTACAGCACACAGTCAGTATGGCATGAATCTTCCTAACTCGGCAATAGTAAGGTATTATGTAATCCAAGATCAAGCTTAGTCAAATGGGCCTAATGCAAATTTGGGGAAAGGAGCTTCACGGATGGTTAGAGCATATCTTAATTTAGATTGCGATGTTGGATTGCGAACTGTAAACACAATGCTACATCATTATGTCATGATCCATTACAGGTGGGTGCTATCAACGTGCGATTCAGCTTCCCAGGCGGGCTTTGAGAAAAATGAGTCTCACCGTAGCATGCATAGTCCCAAAGTTGGCAAAGAGGTCCAGGTTTTCTGCTGGCTCGCTTGGTTCGGCTTCACCAGGCACTTAGCCGGAATTTCGTCAAACGGGACCAAACGTTGTCAGATGGGTGCTACAATATGAAGGTCCACTGTTTTGCGTTCAGCATTTTTCTTATCAGATTTAACCCTCTCAGTGAAATTTTGCCGCGTCAAGCTCACCTTAAATGCATACACGAATCAGCGATGGTTTTCGTAGTTTAGGCTGACACTGTAGTTCCTTATCGTTACCGAAGAGACCCTTTACAAACTGTGAATGCAACCTTCGCAGCGCGCTGTTAGATTGATCAAACGCATTTGCACCATACGCCGCTTTTAATAGCTCGAGCAATATCCGGGACACAGTCTTGTTAAAATAAAGCCCACAGGCCCAAACGCCCGTATAGATGTCTTGTAAAAGGAAGCCTCGCCCTGGTTTACCCAGCCAGCTGATTGACCACAGAGGCGGACTTCACTTAGCTGAAAAGCCGATGTACCATAACGATTCAACTGAATTACTGCTAAACTTAACAAGTTGCTTGTGTGATCACATTTGGCATTGCCAGATGATGTTACTACGCTTGCACTGAAGTGAGTGCAATGCATTCAGCGAATCCCTGCAGTACGCTTCAGTCACAGGCCTCATCGCCCGAACGAGGCGAAACCTTTCCCAGCTGAGCAACCCGAGCCCGAAACAGAAGCCGAGCACCGTAATGGAACAGCTGTTACCAGTCGCGTGGCGAGGCGCGCACCGGTCGCTAATCTCCAAGGGTTAAATCGAGTCTGCGGTGTGTGGGTGATGACCTGTCTCCGGCCATCCCGCTGGCGCGCCCCGCGCCAGCTTCGGCCGCCGGCCGGTCCTCTCCAGCCGGCGGAGCCGACCGCTGCACCAGGAAGCCGACCGGCGCGCCAACAGGAAGAGGTCAGTGGACAGCGGCGGCGAGCGCGCTGATTGGCCGTGCCGCGACACGCCCCGCCCGCTGACCGGACGGCCGGCCGCGGCCCGTCGGCACGACGCCGTTCTATAAAGCCTATACAGCCTGTGGCAGCTTGAAGTCGGTATTCCTTGCCGGGCTGTCGCACCCGGTGCGGGCTGACAGCGCAGAGCGCGGTGGTGCTGTTCATCAGGCGTCACTCTCCAGCGGCAGAGGATTGCCCGTCCGTCAGTGCCAGACAGGTGGGACTCCGAGCACGCCCCAAACGCTGTTCGCCCTTCGTTGTGCGACGCTTTGGTGGCATCCCTTTGAACCGTACCCAGCTGTCCGTGTCTGCCCGGGTGGGCTTTCATCGCCTCGCTGCCGCGTCCGGACGGCCGTCGTCGTGGCCTCGGCCGTGCGGAGATTAGCACAAGCCGGCAGTGAGCTGTGACTCGTGGCCTGCTCTTGAGGCTCTCGGCCTACTGCCGTGTGCATCCCCCACAGGCCACCGCCGCCAGCGAACGGCTCCACGGCGGCCACTTCCGCGGTGTTACCGATCATGAAGCGAATGACTTTCACGCTTCAGTGGAGCTGCGCTCCTCGGCCGGGGTTGGCGTTCTGTGGTCCGTTTGACCGGGGTCGGGACGTTCCCCGGGCTAGACGCTCCTCGACCCATTCACCTCTGTTCGGACGTCCTCTACTTCTCTGTATCCTGGTTCGGACGTCCTCCGGTCAGTTTTGTCCCCGTCCGGACGTTCTCCGGTCAGTTTTGTCCCCGTCCGGACGTTCTCCGGTCAGCTGCGTCTCCGTCCGGACGTTCTCAAATCCTCCGTGCGTTGGTGTGGGCACGAAGCTCATGTCGGTATCGTCATAGCCCGGACAGCCCGACTCGGTCGACTTGCTCAGGGTCCAGCCTCGCCAAGCTCAGTCACTGTTTGTGCCGGTTTGCCGCCTGTTTGTGCCGGTTTAGCGACTGTTTGTTCCGGTTTGCGGGCTGGGCGCCGGACCGGCCGAGTTCGCCAGCGGCCGTGAGGCCTGTGGTGACATTTGCCGAGTCGCCGGCTGGCGACGAGGCCGGAAGCTGACTCGGAAGGAAGCGCGCATTCACGCCCGCTCGATGAGTCAGTGTCACGAGGTTGTACCCAGAAGACGTTCTCATGACTGGGATGGGCCGGGGCGGGGATGCCAAGTTTGCGTGCTATCAGCTGGTGATTCACTGTGGTCATTTGGTGGTAGAGCTGTCGTTGACTAATGCTGATCCAAGGCACAGCGCTTGGCGGACGTTTAGCGGTCGTTCTGTCATGCAAATGCGTTATAACGATAACGGTAGGTAGTCATCAAGAGAAGGCGTGTTCAAACTTACCTGCGTGGTGATCACATGGTGATCTTGTTTCTTCGCGGTTGACACGAAACAAAAACAGGTCACAAACATGTGTATCTCGATTAGCCGTTATCCACCGACCTGAGCACCTACCGCCTCCCAGCGGCACCTGCCGACTGGCTGGCCGGCAAAGGCAGCTGGGCGACCTTCACAGCGCCCTGCTTGGACACGTTGACCATGAAATACTACCACTGCGATTTAGTCGAGATACACCACCCTCTGTGGGGAAAAACGGTGTGTTGACCTAGTCAGCGGTTCTTTGGCAGCATTTCTTGGCCAGACAGCCGCCTTTAAGCCGCTTAATTCGATAAGGCTATCATGAGGGAAAATCTTCTGCAGCACGGCGTTTTTACCTGGATGCTAGTACCGTTTGCTCGAGTGCCGCAGGAATGCCTATTGAAAGGAACGTTGGCTTGAGATGAATCGGCCTAAACGGTCATACGTTGTCCGTCTATGTCCTGGGCTTGACAGTCTTCACAAAGATCGTACGAGTTTCCGCAAACCGCACGCTCGTCCAGATGAGTGCAACTCATTTCGACCAAAAAACACCTATAAAGATGCTAAGGATCCGAGCAAAGATGCTATAAAATAAAGCGCCACCAAATTTGCACCAAATATCAACACTGCATTCAGATGCGGTGCACTTCAAAGCCAAGTGTCAATGCCCTCAGCAGCAGCTTGATGCAAATCATGCTGGACGACTCAGCCGCTGGTCCCCAAATCTGGCCATGGCGTCGCCTGGCAACAGCGGCACCCGCCCGACTGCTAGCCTCTGCGGCTCCGACGCGGTGGGGCCCGCCGCTTCGCTCCCAGCACACCACCGCGGAGCGCCCCTGTCGCTGACCCCTGTGGCTGACCCCTGTGGTTGACTCCTGTGGTTAACCCCTGTGAGACACTACCGTGGTGCATCCCCGGTGTGCACTCTGTGGCGTACCTTCGGTACGCACCAGTGGTGCACCCTTCAGCACACACCCGCACTAGTCCCCTGTGGTGCAACCGCACCCATGTGGTGCAACTCTAGTACATCCCTGCGGTGCGCCCTCGTGGTAAACACCCGTGCTGCACCCCGTGCTTGACTCCTGTGATACGCTGCCGTCGCACATCTCTATCGTTCAAACAGTGGCACACCCTGTAGCACACATCACTGATGTACACCGCGGCAAACACCTGCAGTATGCCTTTATGGCACACGCCAGTGATGCACAGCGCGGTACACACGCGTGGCATGCCTCTATGGCACGTCTTGCGGTGCGCTCGGCGGCACCACACACCCGCGGTGCGCGCGCACGCACCGTCGGTCAGTCTAAGACGGTCGGCAGCGGCCTGCTGCGCCGCCCCGGGAGGTGCCACGGGAGAGCGGAGCTCGTTGCCACGCCGGCCACCACCGGCAGGTGTCCGTCGCACCGGCCGAAAGGTGCTTGTGACATTTGCTGGGAACTTTGGAATCTGAGAGCGCTGTGCCGGATGGTGCAAGCTGGCACTTCATTACGGTGTAAATTAAGGTTGCCTCTGTAATCATGAAATTGGAGGGACTGGATTTCTCTGGCAGCCCTCGTAACTTTGTCGATTAGTTTGGCCCAGTTTCATCTCTAGCATCTGCTGTGAGTGCATTATCCGGCGGCCGTCATCTCGTCCGTGCCACGCATCTGGCAGATGGTCCAATAAAACACATTCTTTCCATGCGCAAAAGTTATCAAACTCAGCAAAAGAGCAAACATTACTTGGATTACTCCGCTCGGCGTCGATTGGGTTTAATGTCCGGAAAATACCTGGAACGCACCCTGGGGCAAATCTACCGATGGGAAATTCTTGAGGTGACCGTAATAATCAAACTCGGGGTATTTGGCCGCGAGAGGTCAGAGGAATGCAATGGTTGTCGATGCCGCTGTTTCAGTTGTCAGTGATTGGAATTCTCAGCACTGCTTCGACGAGGTTTCCGCCCCTCCTGCTGGGCGTAGCTCCTTTGACGATCCAAATGGCTCAAGAGATTGCATAAGGTCATCGACTTGCGAAAAGTAATGAAAGGTCACTTGCCTTTGAAATCTGCAAAACTGGTTGAATGCCTACTGTCCTTCCTCTATGTAACTTTAAATTACATAGTGTATATTTTTGTTTTTTTCTGAGCTTAGTAGTAGGTGCACAACTTTCAGTGATGCGGCAATTGCATTCGGGTGTTTACTTTGTGCCTAAGGAGCTAGCCACATAGCAATAGCTCTTTTCGTTCTCAAAAAGTGTGAAAAGGCATTCAGTCTAAGTGCATTTGTCCTTTGCCGCCCCACCTCTCCTTGGTTTGTGCTTCGTTACATTTCCTTCCGAGCATGCCGCCACGAAAGGCCACGGATCATGTAACGAAAACAAAGTCATGAAGATGCACCGTGGGTTACGCCCGAGGGCCGCTTGATCATTGTCCATGTTGCACTTTAACCTCATGGCTAACAACCGGGCGTCCTTCACGCCCACTGTGACAAGTCAACTCCAGCCGAGTTCAGGCAGCAGATGCGCCGAGGGATGTCCGTCCTCGTCTTCGATGTGGTCTGTTGCCGTTTGGACGGCTAAATAATCGTCATCGGCGGCGCGGGTCACTGTTGCGGCAAGGTCGGCTGAAGGCAGGCCGTGTGCCGTGGTAGTCCCGCTTGCCACCGGAGGAGCGGGCTGAGCCCGCGAGGCAGCGAGGCTCGGGCTCTGCCGACATACCAGCCCAACCCAGTGTCAGGCCCGGCTGACCGGAGGGTCAGCGACCCCGGTCCGGCGCCGCCACCGGCCCTGTTTTACCGCTTGACCTTGTGGAAGGTGAGTAGCCACGACGCCGCCCCTGGGGCGGGGCCGGCTTTTTATCCGCGTCGAGCCGACCTGAAAACGGGCCTCGCTCAGCCTCGCCGGCTGCGGTGTCCACACGCCTGCCGGCGAGAGGTCTGGGATGCGGCCGCGGCGATCGCTGCGCCGTGGAGCCGCGTTCCAGTGGCCGGGAGCGGCCGGGGCGCGGCGCCCCTGCAGAGGCCGGGCCGGCGCGCCGGCGCAGCCGCTGGCCAAACCGCACCAATCGCGCCGCCGGATCCGGCGCCGGCGTGCCGCGCCGCCGCGAGCCGGTGCGGACGGGTCGAGCGCGTCCGATCGGCTAATCCCACCGCCTGGGACAGCTGGAGCGTGTCGAACGAGCCTTTGGGCCGTGCCGACCGGGTCAAACGGGCGGGACGAGCGGGACAAGCGGGACGAGTGGGACGAGCGGGACGAGCGGGACGAGTGGGACGAGTGGGACGCGCGGCGCGGCCGGGCCGTGGTCGGGCCGTGGTCGGGCCGTGGTCGGGCCGTGGTCGGGCCGTGGTCGGGCCGTGGTCGGGCCACGGCCGGGCCGTGGTCGGGCCGTGGTCGGGCCGTGGCCGGGCCGTGGCCGGCGGTGCGCGCCGCTTGCAGCGTGCGGTACGGCTGCCGGCCGGTCCATGACCTGCCGGCCGGGCCGCCGCCGAACCGGCCGCGAGCTGCAGCCGTGGCTGTTGACCCCAGCTGGCTGATGTTATCCCGTCCGATGACCGGTGGCGCGACCTGGGCGCCCCCTGTTGAGTCACGCTGCAGGTCACGAGACACGTCTCACGGCCAACGATCCGCTGTGTTTTGCAAGCGATAGAACAAATTAATGACGTAGTTCTGGGATGGCATTGCACCCGACTGGCCTTAAATCTACGTATGGAGTTGAATGTGCATGGTCGTCCACTGGATGTTAGCGTCATACGTACGGTCGTACATTGTTATCTGCGCTTTCGTTCAGCACCCGCAGATGTGGTGCCAACGCAGTCACACAAGAGAAGGGAGTCGATCTCATGCATGCACAAAATCTTCGACCCGTTCACAGGGCCCAGCCGGCCGTTAGTAACACCTCGCTACTCTGCGCGTTAAAGAGCCGGCTGCGGACCGAGAGGTCAAGGACGGTCGGTTACTGACCTAAGCCCCACTCAGCCGCCAATCAAAAGATCGGTCAAAAAGGCATTAGACAGATGTAATTTATCTACCTAGCGAAGCGTATCCGATGGAGTTTTAGGGACCAAATAAGGTCGAGGTAGCATAATTAATCTCGAACTGACGTGCTTCTTGCGTCGGGAAATTAGTCGCCGTTGGGAGATAAAACCCCACACGCATGATAAATATCACAGGGAGCGTTAATGATATTTTAAATGCCAGCATTTTCTTTCCAGGCATGACTTACCCCCGTCTGTTCTTGAAAAATAGAGCGTGCTAGATTCCCGAAATGATCTGCTTGACTGCTTCGCTGTGCTACTGAAAATAGCTGATTGCGCTGCCTTCTACGTGTGGTGATTTAGGTAAGAAATGAAATGCCGCAGGTTTTCTAAAGGCCAAATCCTCAGATGTGCATCCATCCTGCATGTGACACCTTAAAAGTGGTATGCGATGACGTTATCATAACGAGGCAGAGTTCACGTCCAGCCCGTTGTTCCGCATCGCTTCCTGTATTCGCCTGTGCGCCAACTCCGGCTGTGACCTCTGCAGCACCTGATCAAATCTGGCGTCATCAGACCAGACTTGTCTGCGCAGACGGACGAGACGTCATACCACCTCCTTGTTCTGGATGAGTCGTTAACGAGAGCTGCCAAAGTTTCGCAATTCCCGCAGCGGCCGCCGGCCGCGGTCGGTCGTGGCGCACATCAGCGCCAGCACGTGCGGCCGGCGGGCGCGGGCGCGGGCGCGGGGACCGGCCCGACCGGCTGGTGCCGACGCATCACGCGCGGCTCGTCAGTCCTCAACTCGCGACTATGCGCCGCCTAATTGCGATGGTCCCGCCGCAAGCGCCGTGTGTCGTCACAGCGCCGGCTTTTTCTCGGCGCTCGTTATCGGTCACTGCCAAGGTCGGCTGGCCACCTGCGCTCGCGCGCCACGGGCCGTAACCGCGCGCGCCGGCGGCCGGCCGCCGCCGCCTGTCATAACTCACCGGTACGGGCTAATTGAATGAGTTATGTGAGCGTCTTTGGCCATGGGGCGGAGTGCGATATGTCAAATGAATATGCTCATTAGTTATTTACGTGCTTTGCCATCTGTCTAGCATGCGGATAGGATGATGTATTTTTATTTCCGCTATTGATCAGCGTGTTTGCTACGTGGTGCTTAAGAAATTTCTTAAATCCCTTTTTTGACGGCACGCAATAGAGAAATAATTGATGACATTCCAGCGGAGTTTTTATCATCATGACTTCTGTCATTTTCTTCCACCTGGTGATGTAATTGCGCAATTATGTCCCAGGCGTAATGATGAAGGATGAGGACCCGGCAGAGGACCCCAAACGTCTACGCATAAGTACATCTAAGCTATAGCGGGTTGCATATCTTCCCAGGAATTATTGGCATTGCCATCTGGTGACAGGCTCTCTAAGCTTCAGTTCAAAACTTGTGTTTTGGAACAAAAATTTCAATTTTCTCCTCGCCGACAATGCACCTTACCTCGATCCCCACGATATCCTTGTATTTCACCACGTCGATTTGTAGCATTTCTGCCGGTTTCCATACCATAGGTGTAGCAACATCCGAGGGATTGTAGACAGACCATTTAAGATCTGGGTAACAATTAACCATGAACATTGTTTTCAACAGGGAAGTGAGAAAACGACAATTTGTGACCAGCACTGAAAGGGAGACTAAAGCCCACTCCAGAGCAATTCTGAAGGGGTGACGTGTCGCCCAAGCTATTCATGGGTGACGTGGTCGCCCCAGCTATCGAGCGGCTACACTCACGTCCGGTACACAAGAACGCGCCGATGGGCCCGTGAGTCACCGGCCCCCGTGCTCGAGGACGCAGCGCTCGGGACGATAGCGCCCGCCCCGCGCTGAGTGACGCGACTTTCGGCAGGCTCACGATGCGGATGTCGGTGACGGCGTGCGCGCTGGCGGCGCTCCTGGCGCTGAGCTGCGCGCCCCAGGCCAGCCAGGCCGCCTACTGGGGCGACGACCGGACGCCGCTCACGAGGGCCACCATGCCCCGCGGACACGTGGAAAGCCCGCCCGGCGAGGGGCCGGCGGCCGAAGCGCTGGAGAGGCTCACCTACAGGGACTACAGCAGCGCCCCGGCCATCCGCACCCCTGCTGAGAATGGTGAGGCCACAGCACTGGACGCCGGGCCGGTTCATAGGCTTGAAACCTGTCACAGCGGCACGGGGGCGGGGGGGGGGGGGGGGTCAACTTTGTTGCAGCTAATTAAGACTGATCTTATTCGTTTTGTCATCGCTTCAGGATGTGAAGAAACACTCTCGGCCTTTGCTAATCTGCGATCGATTGCGATAATGTCACGCCGTCTTGGTCTTCGTTACCACAATCAGCTACCTCGCGTTTAAGTGGGCTGAGTTCCAGGAATCAGCCACGCAACGCTACTAAAATTAATCGTAACCAAACACACCAACCGGCCACAGCGACCCTGACCACGACCGATCCTGTCAGTCCACACATCAGTGACCCTCCATTGAACCCATCGCTTGTCCCGCAGGATACAAGATCGTGTGCTACTATGGCGCGTGGGCCATCTACCGGGCGGAGCCGATGAGCTTCCGCCCGTCCGACGTGCAGGAGCAGGGCTGCACGCACCTCATCTACTCGTTCGCCGGCCTGCACAACAAGACGCTGGAGATTGTCAGCCTGGACCCCAAGCTCGACATTGAGAAGGGTGAGCACCGCTCTGGTGCTCCTGGCTTCGGCCCGCTCGTCGGGACGCTCTTGACGGGCGTCACCAGTCGATGGACGACCCGTTGTTGCGGTCACGCGAAGGATAGATGGCAATGGGTTTCCCCAGTCTGGTCCATCGCCTAAGATGTATTGCAGTCCTCTTCCGGGAAATCCAGCACTGCTTTACGTTGCGTTTAAAATGTGTGTGGTTAATCGGTGGTCCTGTGGATGCACTTGCCTTTGTGGTTATTTTACGACCCGTAATTGACGAAGCCTGACATTTCATGGCACTGTAAGCGACCCTAGCATGCGACAGTGCCGGAAGACGTTCCGTGGGCGGTGCAGAGACGTGACGACCTGTTGCCATTACAGGTGGTTATGCCGAGGCGATCGCTCTGAAGCAGAAGAACCCCCAGCTGAAGGTGATGATCGCAATCGGGGGATGGAACGAGGGCGGCAAGAAGTACTCTGACATGGCCAGCACAGCCGCCAGCCGCACGCACTTCGTCCGGTCGGCCACCGCCTTCCTCATGGAGCACAAGTTCGATGGACTGGACCTGGACTGGGAGTACCCTGGTGAGTTCGGCTGGCGCGCGGCCCGTTCCGCTGCGTTGCGGCGGAAGTCGAGTCGGCCGGGTCAGATGGGCTGATTTGGCGCCTTCGATGCGCTCCACACCGAGGGCAGCTCTTGATAACGCAGTTTGGTTTGAGAACGACGCACGGGATCCAGCAATCAAAACAAGTCTGGCGAATCTTTAGGGCTGGAGCACGCTGAACGCTGACCAGGTTATGGGCGTCGCAGTAATAGCGCACTTGAGTGTTTAGCATTACCGTAATTATAACAGCACTTTTGAATAATTTTGCATGGTCGCCAACCGATACATTGTCAGGTTTTCTCGGCATCACGAAGTGCTGAACAAAATTTAGGCGTCTCTTGAAAAGAAAAGAGACTCGAAAGACGCGATCTGTAGTTCAAAGAAAGCAAAGCGCCGCCTCGCATTTCCGAAGGGATCTCAGGGCTCTTAATGAGATTAGTGCCTAGAAACAAACTTAAGATAGTTTTTTTTAGTTTTGCGAGTTTGAGAGATTAATTCGCTGCTCTGTAGAAAGTTCTTGAAATTCTCCAGATTTCACAGCGCCGGGTTGGTACCCTTAGTGATAATAAAGCAAGCCCAATGTCTGTATACATAAGGCTCATCACGACTGGCACCTTCCTCAGGCGCCTCGGACCGCAACGGCTACGTGGAGTGACAAGGAGAACTTCGCGCTGCTAGTGGAGGAGCTATACGCGGCGTTCCAGCCGCACGGCCTGCTCCTCTCGGCGGCCGTCTCGCCGGCCGGCTTCCGCGTCAACGAGGGCTATCACGTGCCGCGCCTCTCCGCCAAGCTGGACTTCATCAACGTGATGACGTACGACCTGCGTGGCCCCTGGGAGAACTTCGCCGACCATCACTCGCCACTGCACCGCCGCGAGAGCGACAAGTGGAGCTTTGCCAAGCTGAACACGGTGAGTAGTGCTCGGCCAGCGGCGTGTCGGTGCGCAGTCAGGTGGGAGCTGGCCGTCGTGCAAAGTTAGCGTTATTGGGGAGCGGGTGTAGGGACATGTTGGACGGGCAAAAGAAATGAAGATGGCATAAAAATGTGGACACGCGGACATAGTAACGTCGTTTAGTATGTTTTGTCAGTAGCTTGACGCTGTAGTAACGTCATTCTGGACAGAGAAGCTCAGATACTATCTGTTGAATTCTATTTTCGAGCATGCTTTAGTTCTAATTTCGGTGTCAGCAGACCTTTCGGTTGTACCTGTTCAAACCAGACACCTAGTCAGGTCGTGACTTTTGTTATTACCATGGAATGCTGCCAAACTTTGTCGACAATTAGCCTACAGTGATATTTTTAGCGAAACGTCCTCCAGAAGCATTACTATCGTGTGACGGTCCCAAAAACATATTAAAACCTGACCGCCCACTGTTTTCTTCTCGGCAGCGCGACGGGCCTGAAGCTGTGGATCGAAGAAGGGGGCCGACCCCAGAAGGTGTTTGCTCGGTGTGCCGTTCTACGGCCGCTCGTTCATGCTGGCGAGGCGCCCGACACGACGCCTGGAGCCGCCTCGACCGGCGCCGGCCCGCCGGCCATGTACACCAAGGTCAGTGGTTACCCCGGGCGTGGGCTGCGGCGCGGCTCAGGTGCCTGCCCGCCGGCCATTACACCAAGGTCAGTGGTACGCCGGGCAGGGCTGGGGCACGGCTCAGGTACTGGCCTGCCGGCCATGTACACCAGGTCAGTGGTACGCCGGACGTGGGCTGCGGCGCGGCTCAGGTGCTTACCCGCCGGGCCGGTCGGCCGGCGCGCCAGCCATGCCGTGGTGGCATCACAGCGTCCACAGACACCCAGTGCAGGCCTGCTCGGGCTTGGTATGCTATCGGAATCAGTTGAGCAAGTGCCCTGAAACCATTTGAGTATCAGATGCATCTAGCATCAGGATCTGACCGGGAACAAACAGGCAATTTTGTGTCGGGTCATGGTTTTCCCCCTGCCGAAGTTTTGACTTCATGTCTTATGGTGACTGCGTCGTTCGGCATTTATACTAGAGCTAATTGTGGAGCTTTCTTAGAATGTGTGATGATTGCACCAGCTCATATATTTTTCCGTTAACGTTCAAGTGGTAAAAAGTTTTGGACTTTACTGTTTAATAGTGAAGTGCTAACAACATGATTGAGTTGTAAGTAACAACCATATGGACTGCAAATTTTTACACTATCTAGATTAATAAACAGGAACAGATTGCAATTGGTTTGGTAGCTAAAACGCAATTCTTTCTTCAGCTACATTTAATATTGCAAGCACTGCTATAGCAAGAGGAACATACTGCTTTCACGTATTCTTGTATACGAGTTGAGCTGCATGCGTTGAGCTTCCAAAAATGTGTCCTGTAGGAGAAAGGCTACTGGGCTTACTTCGAGGTGTGCAAGACGCTGGCGCAGGAGCCGGGCTGGACGATCAAGAAGGACGGCGCTGGCGGACCTTATGCCTACAAGGACAAAGCCTGGGTCGGCTACGATGATTACTCATACGTCTCCAAAAAGGTGAGGCCGGGTGCAAATCAGCGTTGCTCATGGGCCGTGGGCCACAGCGTGGGAAATGTTGTTGGCGTTTGGAGAAACGGGCTGTACTACACGATCCGCTGAGCGTTATGAAGCGCCGTGTTACGTCCCGCACCTCAGGTCACATCTCCTCCGCTGCGTCTCCCATTGACGCCGCCCGTGCTGCTCTCGCGCCGCAGATGGACCTGGTGAAGGAGCTGGGACTGGGCGGCGCCTTCGTCTGGGCGATCGACCTGGACGACTTCCAGGGCGTGTGCGGCGGCAAGTGGCCCCTGCTCCGCGCTATCAATGAGAAGCTCAGCACCGACGGCATGATGACCATGAAGCCCATGACGACCATGAAGCCCATGACGACCATGAAGCCGGACACCATGAAGCCGGACACCATGCCTGGGACAATGACCACGATCGAGTCCATGACCACCATGAAACCTATGGCGACCGAGAAGCCTTCCACCATGATGGAGAAGCCGACCACGACGTCCTCCCGTGAGTCCACAGATCGTGGCGTTGGTTTGGTCGGTCGTCCGATGGCTTAGGTCTTTTAAAGATGTTAAGCTCAATGCCACGTGTAACGCGCTTTGCCTGAAGCGTCAGTGGCTGTCATTACAAATTCGCACAATTTACCACCCGTGCGAAGCATTTTTTTGTCGTTTCATGTAAAAACAAACTGTTTCATTTCTCTCACAAAAATAAGGCTGAAAAGTTTACGATGCGATCCCCTGTTTCCGGCTAATTTCCATCTGCTTTGCGTGGATCCCTTCTTATTCACCTCCGCCAAAAACAGCTATTATTGCGACAACAATGCCTGTCACGGTCACTTACCTGCTGTAAAGGCGCGACAACAAGTCTGCCCTGGCACAATAGCTACTGCCGTCTCACCACTAACGACGCCGCCACGAGGGCTGCCTCGGCTGCCGCTGACAGACAGGTCAACAGATGGACACACGCTCAGGCAGGCGCACATCCTGGGACGGGCTTGTGTTTGTCACCGACGGTTACGTAACCACTGCAAAACTATGGTTGTCAGGGGCTCCTGGGTTTGGAGCCGGATCACAAGCGCGCTCTGACGTCATTGCGTCTGCGGTTTCAGCATCGACCGGCGCGACGTCGCTGCCGTCGAGCCAGGACGAGTTTAGCTGCCCTGCGGACGGCTTCTTCCGCGATCCGCACAACTGCAAGGTCTACTACCACTGCTCCAACGGCATGGGCCACAAGTCGGTCTGCAACGACGGCCTGGTGTTCGACAGCGAGAAGAACGTCTGCAACTGGGCGGACCAAGTGTCGGATTGCCCGAGCGGCGCCGGCATGGTCGAAGAGGAAGGACTCGGTGAGCTTTACCGGCCAACGGCGCGACGTCAGGCTCGCGATGCTGGTGACGCCCTTGCGGTGTCGCCAGGCTCCATGCGAATCCCATGGCTGAGATACACAGGCTGTCACGCAGGGTTCTGCTAGCCAATCCAATTTGTGGAGGTGTTTTGGATGGCGACTGACAGAAAAAAACTTTAGTTTTATCGCTAGTGCTTATGTCATGGCAGCGAATTACGCGCCACAGCAGCTCATTAACCCAGTGCACATTCCACAAGCCCGCGTCGTTTCCAATTTTCCACCCACGGTCACAAGGCACTCGGCCACCAGACTCTTGTTAGGTTCAACTGGCTCATTGTAAACTTGTCACAACCACGTTTGAGACTGTAGGGAAAAGTTCGCGTGGTGATTCCACCGGAACGAGGACTGTTCGATGACAACTTTGAAAATGTAATTCATCGCGAAACATAGAGGATTAAACCTATTGCGCAAACTTAACTGCAAAGGTATGCCAGCTACTGCAGCTTGCTCTCCACTCACGACCCCAAGGCACCCAGTCACCGGACCCACTTCCGCTTCCTCTCATCACCTCTCTACATCACACCGATTCGAAGTCCCCTGGAGGTGCCCTGGCGACCTCGGCGGCCCCTGAGATCGCGCTGATGCCCCCAAGCGGCCACCAGACGGCCGTCAGCTGACCGGGGGACGACTGTGCCGGCAGACGGGCGCGAGCCGCCCACGTTCCAGTGCCCCCGCTCTGGCAGCGGGCTCTTCTCCAGCCCGGACGACTGCAGCATGTACGTGTGGTGCAACCAAGGCCGCACGCACCAGCTCACCTGCGGGCCGCACATGCACTTCGACACGCGCTCGGGCACCTGCAACTACCCCAACAGGGTGCAGTGCCAGCGCGGCGTGGCCACGCGCGTGGCCGGCATTGGTGATGACCTGGGCCCGGACATGGTCGCCACTCGAGCCTCGCAAGGTGAGCGTCACTGGCGGCAGCACGTGGTGGCTGTGCTGTTTGCAAACCGCAAGGTCTCTTCCCTATACACCACGCAGCAAACGCACTGCATTACAGCCAACATCCGGCACCGGTGTCTGACCGGCGTTCCTGACTACAAACGAGCAAATTTTTCCACATTTTTTTTTTACAACGGCATCTGGATAAAGCCTGAAAGGCGTTAAGCCTATCCTCATTGTGAACGTCTGTCGTGGGAATTGCGTGATGTCTTCATACGTTCTCTAGAGGGATCGTTCGATCTCGTACGCTGACAAAAGTTGTTGCATGTTACAGAAAGCCCACTTGTTAGCCACTTGATGCGCCGGAGAGGCATTGCAACATGATGTAGCACGTCCGACAAGCTATTTCTGTGACATGGCGGGGTGACTTTTCAGATGCGTAGGAAGGTGGCTAAAGGCTCTTAAAACTCAGCGAGAAAATTAGGAAGCAAAAACATGTCAGCTACAATTAGCTCTGACAAGTATTTTTCTCGCCGCCACAGCCTTAATGCTGTTGACGCGCACAGCAGCCTGCTTCATAATTCCCACGAGCGCCTCGGATAAATCCAATTTGCCTCCGTGATGTATGTCAAAAGAGAGCAGTATATCTCTCCGCTGCAGATTCCTGCTTGTTTGGTGTATCCATACCACCTCACAGAGTTTTGGTGCTCAGAACTCAGACAAGCTCCGGCTGCAGAGATAAGGCCTTTAACAGTGGCATTATTTCTTATCAAGAAACTCGGGACGTAACGTATCAACATTTTTACGTACGCTTGCATTAAACTTTTAACTTCCTCGAACAGGTGAACATTGGCATAACATGAGCTGCAACATAAGACGTGAACAAAGCAAAGCATGTACGCTACCAGAGTCTTTGCAGCTCATAGACATAGACTGCATCACTTGCGGTATCACAGCTGTCTTCAGTGACAGCTTTAGAAGTGACGAAACGTTATTGAGCACGAACCGCACCTGTTCACAGACAACAAGGTGGTCTGCTACTTCACCAACTGGGCGTGGCGGCGCGAGGGCGGCTCGGCCTTCGCCCCAGAGAACATCGACCCGACGCTCTGCTCGCACGTCATCTACGAGTACGCCGTGCTTGACCCGAACGAGCTCACGCTCGTCTCATTCGACGAGTGGACGGACTTTGACAACAGTGAGTGAGCCGCAGGGGCGTACTCGTATTCACTGCGGTGGTACGTGTGGCGGGACGGCGCGGACCGCCCGTGGGCGTGATGTCCGCGGAGGGCTCCCACCGCCAGTGGGCGTGATGTCCGTAGACGGCTCCCACCGCAGTGGGCGTGATGTCCGCGGAGGGCTCCCCACCGCCAGTGGGCGTGATGTCCGTAGAGAGCTCCCCACCGCCAGTGGGCGTGATGTCCGCGGAGGGCTCCCCACCGCCAGTGGGCGTGATGTCCGCGGAGGGCTCCCCACCGCCCGTGGGCGTGATGTCCGCGGAGGGCTCCCACCGCCCAATGTCACGCGAGCGCGGCGTTCGCGGAGGCTTCCCATCCAGAAGCTAGTCGTGGCTCGTGTGAGGCACGGTTATGGGCCCCTGAATTTGGTCAGTAATATATTTGCCGACTTTAGTATAGGCCCGCGTTTCAGTGTCTGGTTTTAGCCTACAATAGACCAGGGAGCCCGGTGCATGAAGGGGCGATGGAGCGCCATCATCAATATTAATTACTCCTTCCGATGAAGTGGATGGGACTGTTGGTTCGAGGTCACAAAAAGTTTCGAAAATAACGTGCCCAAAAAAGAGCTGTCATGTGCGGTTTACCCAAGGGTTCGTAGTTTTATATTCACCCAGAAAGGAGCTTTGCAAATTTAGGTTTGACTAAGCATGCTAACCTACTGAACATTAAAAGCTTCCAGCATAACGATATGCCCCTGGTCGGTGAAGCCACCGAACCTTCAACAGCTGATTGGTCTTTAAGTTCAGCTTAGCTTGCGTACAGACTATACTGACTTGTCATCGGTAGCACGGGAACAGCGGTTTCCATACGTCAGTCACCGATATTCACTGATGACAGTAGTCTGAGCCGTCGATCCGATTTGATAATCAGATTCGATGGCTTCGCCTCGGTTTTTTTCTGCGGTGGTCTGTTTTAGCCCGGCGCTGCGAGGCCAACATTGTCTTGACTGGATGCCTCCATCGACTTGTCTAGTTGGGGGTCGGCCATTTTGAGACGTGCTGGGTCACTGCCACATGATTTCGGAGAATAGCACGATAAATTGAGTCAGATAACTGCCTTCAGCGGACCGGCGAACCGCGGGCGACCGTTCATTCTCCGGGGACCAAGGCTGGGATTAAATAGCTTTGTCGACGCCAAGGTGCTGTGACCATTTCATCAAGTCGTTCTTCATTATTCTTCTGAGGCTACATAATGCATATGCATTTGGTTTAGTTTCTCATGAATTTTTCATCAACGTCATTGGTGGGGAGGTATTCGAAGCTGTTCCTCCACAAGATATATTGTCTGTTGGTTGACATTTCTCTGCTTAGCCCCCCCCCCCCCTCCCCAGCGCATGATAATATTAAACAATATTACAAGTCAAGCACTTACCTTGTGGTGCGTTTCACCCCTGCAAAAGCAAATTTAAAAGTCTAGTGGTCTTTTAGCCCAAAAACTTGTTTGCAGCTCAAAATTGTCAAAAGCTGTTACTCGTTTAACTAAAAAGCTGCATGGACACCAATGGGAGCATGGCCAGCAGCACACTTGAGCCGTTGACGGCACACCAGAATGTTGCACAAGTCGTCAGTGTAACGACCCGTCAGCTTTTCCGCGTGAGGATCGAGCCGTGTCAGTCACCTAGCCCCCAGGACATAACTTACAGTCATGTTTCCCGTGGAAACGTGGGGTCTCAATGGTCCGGGTCGACCTCGGCTAGGTCATATTTTAGCATTGGTTACCTGGTTATTTATTGCTGCTGTTCGCTGGCGAGGCCGGCAGCGACGCGCCATCTTTTCGCGTAACCTTTCACGTGCGTCTGTCCCGTCACGTGGCGCAGCGACCGGTGAAATATTATGTCGAGAATCGAACACGGCCCATCATCATCACCAGACCACCGCTAGTCATCATCATCAGTGTGTTTGCCTTGATGACCGCAGCAATATCATCTACTGTTCCTGCTCCCGTCTCTGCAGCAGTCGTGTTAGGATGAATGTTTGAAGATATATATGAAGTTAGATTGATTCACACTACTGAACTTAATAGCAGGGCAGGGCCACTTATGGTGCTGAGCTTCAAACAACTGGCGGAAAAAGCGCAAACTTGTCGGCCAACGCTCCTGCAAAACGTTGCGAGTGTTCCGCATTATTTCATGTGATTTCTGCGTGGCGCAGTGAGGCCATTGCGTCGGTCTATGGCCTGCTCCGTACACACCCCAACTTGACCAGCTATCCCAGCCGGCCGGGTCGGTGGCCGGAACTTGACCAGCTATCCCAGCCGGCCGGGTCGGTTGTCAGGACTTGACCAGCTATCCCAGCCTGCCGGGTCGGTGGCCGGGACCTGACCAGCTATCCCAGCCGGCCGGGTCAGTGGCCGGGACTTGACCAGCTATCCCAGCCGGCAGGGGTCGGTGGCCGGGACTTGACCAGCTATCCCAGCCGGCCGGGTCGGTGGTCGGGACTGACCAGCTATCCCAGCCGGCCGGGGTCGGTTGTCAGGGACTTGACCAGCTATCCCAGCCGGCGGGTCGGTTGTCAGGACTTGACCAGCTATCCCAGCCGGCCGGGTCGGTGGTCAGGACCTGACCAGCTATCCCAGCCGGCCGGGTCGGTGGCCGGGACTTGACCAGCTATCCCAGCCGGCCGGGTCGGTGGTCGGGACTTGACCAGCTATCCCAGCCGGCCGGGTCGGTGGTCGGGACTTGACCAGCTATCCCAGCCGGCCGGGTCGGTTGTCAGGACTTGACCAGCTATCCCAGCCGGCCGGGTCGGTTGTCAGGACTTGACCAGCTATCCCAGCCGGCCGGGTCGGTGGTCAGGACTTGACCAGCTATCCCATCCGGCCGGGTCGGTGGCCGGGACTTGACCAGCTATCCCATCCGGCCGGGTCGGTGGTCAGGACTTGACCAGCTATCCCAGCCGGCCGGGTCGGTGGTCGGGACTTGACCAGCCATCCCAGCCGGCCGGGTCAGTCGGCGGATGCGCTCCGGAGCTGACACACGTGACCCCAGCCGCCGGCAGACTTCATCGCCCGGATGCGGCAGCGGCTCGGTCCGCGTAAGCTGCTGCTGGCGCTCGGCGGCTGGACCGACTCGGCCGGCGACAAGTACAGCCGCATGGTGGCCACGCGCGCCAGCCGCGCCAAGTTCATCAGCTCGGCGCTCAGCTTCGTCACCGACTACGGCTTCGACGGGCTGGACCTGCAGTGGGCGTTCCCTGTGTGCTGGCAGGGCGACTGCACGGCCGGCGCCGCCGCCGACAAGGCGAACTTCGCCATGCTGCTGAAGGTGCGTCTCCAGCTGGGTGCCGGCATCCTGCCGGCATGTACATGCCCTGTACATGCCGGCACCCTGCCCTGATGACATTCTGCCTCACCGCGTGTGCACGGTCGTCGTTACCTGATAATGGCAGAGAATGCAGTTCTCACGAGGCATGGCCTGTTCCACACAGCAGTGCTATTTGCGATGCACTTGCGGCGGTTGGTAAAATGATCACTTCCTAAGAGCAAGATTTTTCAAAGGCGTCTACGTTCAAGCGTCATCCAAACACACAGGTCTAACGCAACACCATCAGCCACCTGATCAATAAAATGGCAGATCTTTAGTCAACATGTCATCCAACAGTTTGCATCCACTGTCTCGATGCGTGCACACGCGCCAGCTCCGAAGCGTAACACCACCGGTGAATGCAGGAGCTGCGCGAGGTCTTCGACGCCAAGGACAACGACCTGCTCCTGACAGCCGCGGTGGCCGCCCACGACAACATCGTCCAGAAGGCTTACGACGTCGGCAGCATGAACAAGTACCTGGACTTCGTCAATCTGATGACGTTCGACTTCCACGGCGGCTGGGAGCCCATCACTGGCCTGGTGGCGCCGCTCTACGGCTCGGACGCGTCCGACACCAAGAGCGTGGTAGGTAGTGCCGACAGCCGTGACTCTAGGGTGGAGCTGAAATTGCTTCCGATGAAGCCACCGAGGACAAAAGCCTGCTCCATCGCTCATAGCTCGAATGGGGAAATTTGTTGGCGATCCTGTGAAACCGCGGTGTCTGGCTGCAGGATACCTTTGAGGTTCGCTCATTCGTTTTACGTGGCTCTGGAACTGAGAAAGTCATGCAGGTCGAGCCGTGCTGGGCCTCTGGATCGTTAGTCAGGAGTCCGTAAAATTGTCATCAGATGAGGATTTTCTCGCTCCTGTTTTCAGTAGCACGAGGATCATCATATATTACCGAATGAGCCATAGATGCCAGACGTCGGTAAAACTCCAGCGAGTTAAAAGACGGCCAGTCACCCATACTGTGTTGCCGTTGTCGTTTATCGTGGTTTTAGAGCGTGTCGACAAATGAGGTCAGCGACCCGTTGCAACCCGTTCGGGGTTGGGTGCTGTGCACCCTCGTTGCGCCCTCCAGTCAAGTCCAGCCTGACGGCCTCTCCAGCGTGACGGCCCCGGCGCGCACGACTCACCCGCGTCCCGTGCGTTCCAGGACGCGGCCGTCAAGCTGTACGCCCGCATGGGCCTGGACAAGGCCAAGATGGTGGTGGGCATCCCGTTCTACGGCCAGTCGTACAAGCTGTCCACGGGCGGGCACAGCGTGGCGGCGCCGGCGGCCGGGCCCGGCCTGGCCGGCGAGAAGACGCAGCAGCGGGGTATGCTCGCTTACCACGAGATCTGCTTCAGGCGTGAGTACCCACGGCCTCGCGTCACGAACACGTGATGGTGACGCCCGCGGACGGCACCCGCATGGCCGCCCAAGCCCGCCGCTTTTACCACCGACCGATCATCAAAAACTGTGGAGAAAGACGCATCAATTTAAAAGCTAAAAACGTTTTAAAAAAACGTCAGTATTGCTTTGCATGCTTCTTGCAGTGTTAAATGAGAGCGAATTCGAAGCGATGCGTTGTGAATATCCAAGCCTAGAATTGGTTAAGGCCGTAAGCTACTTTTACGCGCGTCCTTACTTTAACCATTCGCGTCCTACTTATTCTCGCGGCTAATGTTTTTTGGTTTGCAGTGCGGACTGGCTGGATGTCGAAGAGGACGGCGAACGGAGATCCCTACATGTACCTCAAGGACCAGTGGGTCAGCTACGAGGACGTCCAGTCCATCAAGAAGAAGGCTGACTACATCGCGTCCAATGGTCTCGGTGGAGCCATGGTCTGGACCCTGGGTACGTTTGAATTGTCCAAATGTCGTCGTTCACAAGCTGAGAATAAGCGCCACTGACTGACGCCTCCCTGTTTGACGATCGCTCGCCTGCACCATGTTATTGCGTTAACGCAACCGATGCTTTGGTCCATTATCTTGTTTTGAATGCTGATGCACAATTATCTGAAACGACAGCACTGTGTAAGCGTTGTGTGCTGTTGTCGTGTAGCAGCGACACACCGGTGTCGTGTACGGACACAACGACGCCATGCGGGCATGGTGCGTCGTCGTGTGACCGGCCGACACGCCGGTGTCGTATGAGCGTCGAGCACACCGTCGCTGTGCGGCCAGCTAACCCGGCGGCGCGCGTGCCGCAGACTTGGACGACTTCGAGAACAAGTGCTGCAGCGAGCCGCAGCCGCTGCTGCGCGCCGTGTCGCGCGCGCTGCGCGGCGTGCCGTCGGGCCCGGTGCAGGCCAGCTGCAAGCAGCCGCCGCCGGCGGTCACGCCCGCGCCGCCTCCGATGACGACTACCTATGACTCCGGCGCTGGTACGCAGCCCCTGTCGGATGGGCCGCTCACAGGGTGGGGGACAGCCCCAGGGGTGTGGATGGGTCACCTCGCCGTCGTGCTGCCAAACGCGCCGGTCATCCGAGGCAGGGTGTCGGGCGAAAAGCCGTAACGGCCCAAGCAGAAGGTGACTGTCAGTGTGCGTTGCTATAGTGCGGGGACCCAGTATGGATTAAGGTATATGTGTAGCCATTATAGGGCACTTGCGCATGGTTATCTAAGTCGAAACAACCGAATGAACGTGAAATGTAACGTTTGAATATTTCGACTAAGAATGTTTTGTTGGCTTTCAGTTCAGTCCCCGACGACTACGAAACGACCCCGGCCAGCCTTTTCCGAGACTACCACCACCACCACCACCACCACTACCACGACAACTGAGAAGACGACTACCACCGCTCCCACTACCACTACCACCTCCACCACTACCCCAGCAACAACGAGCGCCGCCTCCACCGAAGCTCCGCACATGACAAGCCCGGCGCCTGGCGGTCTCAAGTTCAACGCTATCGGATTCGCGGCCGACCCGGAGAGCTGTTCCTCCTACTATCGCAAGACGCCCGAGGGCCCAATCAAACTGACCTGCTCATCGCCACTTCACTTCAACCCGGAGTCGAGCCAGTGCGACTGGCCGGACGCGGTCAAATGCCAGATCAAGCAGGGAGGTGAGTAGACGTGGGCGGCGAAGGACAGGGGGTGGGGTGTGGTGTCTGGAGCTGCCAGGAGGACGAGGTGTGGGTGATGTGTGTCTGAAGCTGCCAGGAGGACGAGGTGTGGGGTGTGTGTCTGAAGCTGCAAGGAGGACGGGAGGTGGGGTGTGTGTCTGGAGCTGCCAGGAGGGCGAGGTATGGGGTGTGTGTCTGGAGCTGCCAGGAGGACGGGAGGTGGGGTGTGTGTCTGGAGCTGCCAGGAGGACGGGAGGTGAGGTGTGTCTGAAGCTGCCAGGAGGACGGGATGTTGGGTGTGTGTCTGGAGCTGCCAGGAGCCCGGGAGTTGGGGTGTGTGTCTGGAGCCGCAAGGAGGACGGAAGGTGGGGTGTGTCTGAAGATGCCAGGCTTAGTTAACACGTAAGCCAGACATGGCCAGCGTATGCTGCTGTCAAGCAATTCATGTGGGATCACGCAAGGTAACTCAAGCGTTGAACACGTAAACCAACAGGCTTCCACAAATGATCTCATGTGTGTTCTTATATGCCGAATCTATCCGTCCTCAACAGTTAAAGGAGAGACGGAAGAGATGTCACCAGAAATGGCTGCAAGCAGTTCTACCGAGAATCCCAGCACTTCCACCGCTCCCTCGACTACCACCATGACTACCACCACGACTACCACTACCAAGCCCACCACAATGACCACCACTATGACCACCACAACTAAGAGGCGCACCACGGTCGACGACGTGACGATGGCTCCCGCTGAGAAGCCCATGACAACCTCGGAGAACATCCCGAGGACTGAGAAATGCGAAGATGGTAAGATGTCCGCCGCTTAGATAGTACCTTGTTGCACTTGATTCTGCTCAAGTGGGTTCTGTTCGAGCGTAGCAGAAAGCATTGAAACTTTGTTCTTTCTTTCTGCTTATCATGCAATTCACGCACATCATGTAAGTATGCATACAATCCTCTGCATGATATCATGAATGGTTGTCGCGACTTTGGAAACACTTGGTATCAGCAGCCGTCGTTAAAGCCCTCTGATTTTCCTCTCTGCTTTCGCTTCGCTGGGACTGGGGCCGTGGCTACCTCCTGATCACAGATCCAGGAAGTGTCGCGAACACAGAGCCCGGCAGAGTGTCCCCGCTCTGACGCCGCTGTTCCGTCTGCAGGCACCTTCAGTCCTATCCCGGGCACCTGCCAAGCGTACAGCTGGTGTCTGGGCGGCGAGAAGCTGACGCAGCAGTGTGCGCCAGGCCTGGTCTGGAATCAGCAGCGCCAGATTTGCGACTGGCCGGAGAACACCGAATGCAGCTCGGGGGGTGTGAGTATACTGACGGCGCACGCCGGCCGTGTCACCGTCACGCCGGCCGTGTCACCGTCACCGCCGGCCGTGTCACCGTCACGCCGGCACGCTCCGGCCGAGCTGTCTCGGTCAGCGAGGCACTTAGGCACCGTCTTGCGAGGCACTTGACAACCGGACCAAACTCACCGTGCAGTAGATCCTGAGAGCGTATCAGCACCGTAGTGACTTTGGTGAGCACGTGGTATGGCTGTTGTTATTTTCGTAATGCGTCTTTGGTCCTCATTCAACGATTTCTGTGTCATTTGTTATGAGGAAGCAGGAGGCGTGAGGAGATACCTATGGCGATTCCCATATCACTGTAGTAGTAAGTGTTGTATGGGTTCCAAAAAGGAACGGCAGGTATAGAGCCGCGTATGAGAGCAGATATACGACTGCGAGGAAAACTATCATGTGAGGCGACTGAAAACATCACGAAGCGGAACATTTCCCCCACGAACGAGAAGAGTGTCAATTCGTACGGGGCTTGTAGTGTGACCTCTTCCTGCCACCCGACACCTGTTGTGTGACCTCTCCCTCTCACCCAACACTTCCCACCGCACTGGAGGTGTTCGCCGTTGTCCGACGGCGCCGCCTGGCGACTCCACCGCGCTGACATCCTGCCGCCGCCTGCCTGCACAGGTGGCGCCACCATGGAGACGCCGTCGGCCATGACTACGGCTTCGGCCCAAGATCAGAGCACGACCAGTGCGATGACAGCCACCGAGAAGCCGGCCATGCCCGACACAGGAATGACCACCCGCGACCCGTGTAAGCGGAGAGTTGGACTCGGATACCGATATCGAAAGGAGACCCACGCGTTACAAAGTGCTTAGCGTAATCCCGCCGGCGATCATGTTCATTAGTCCTCTCGAAAATCAACTCAGATCAGCAAACAAGTGTCTGTCGGGTGTGGTGTCGCTGCCAGGAGCACCAGGTCATGTGTTGTGAGTCGCAACGACCAAGCGGCACCCGACGGCATCACGCCTCTCAAACTCAACCCCGCGCTGCAGCACTAGGCGTTAAAAGTGCCCACGACGTCCACTGGTGTCCCCTCACCAGCACCTCCTTTTCCAGCCATGTACAAGGTGGTGTGCTACTTCACGAACTGGGCTATGTACCGCCCTGGCACCGGCAAGTACACGCCAGAGAACATCGACCCCAGCCTCTGCACGCACATCGTGTACGGCTTCGCCACCCTCGACTACTCGACCCACAAGATCCGCATCTTCGACCGCTGGGCGGACATCGACGAGCCGAGTAAGGCACCGCACTCTCGCGGTCACGGCACCGGAACCGTGCCCCGGTTCGGGGGAGGGGGTGCTTAAGTCATCGCAAAGCTGAACGGTCCGGATGGGGCGGGCGGTGATATGCGACAAAAGCTGGCGCATCTGCCGTGTGTCGCGCCCGAACGTACCCTGAATGCGATTGATGTTATTTAAGGAATTTCTGACAGGTGGTCCCATACAGGCACTCCCCTCCCAAAGCGAACATCGGCACTCTCAGTGTGGGCGATGCAACTCATCGCGCCGACTTCGCAGACATGATGTACAAGAAGGTGACCGATCTGAAGAAGATGGGCAAGAAGGTATTGATCGCGCTCGGCGGCTGGAACGACTCCATGGGCAACAAGTACAGTCTGCTTGTCAACAACCCCGCGTTCAGGAAGATTTTCATCGACGACGTCCTGGAGTTTATCAAGGAACATAACTTTGATGGTCTCGACCTTGACTGGGAGTACCCCAAGTGCTGGCAGGTGAGATAGCCCTTGCTACCCGCAGCTGCCGAAGACTTACTAGTGCTAGGGAGAGGAAATGTTAATGTAGCAAAGAAAAGTGCAGTGCGTCTTGTCACTTAACGTGACTCGTCTTGCGCTTGTAATGCGCCACTGCTCACTCTCTTGTGCTCCATGTAGTGTTCGTTTTCCAACTGATCTGTAATTAATTAAGCCGATCTGGTGCCATCCCTGTAGTGAGCCCGACACCGCTAGCCTGTCTGGTGCCAACCCTGTAGTGAGCCCGACACAGCTAGCCCGTCTGGTGCCACCCCTGTAGTGAGCCCGACACAGCTAGCCCGTCTGGTGCCACCCCTGTAGTGAGCCCGACACCGCTAGCCTGTCTCGCGCCACCCCTGTAGTGCGCCCGACACCGCCAGCCTGTCTGGCGCCACCCCTGTAGTGAGCCCGACACCGCTAGCCTGCCTGGCGCCACCCCTGTAGTGAGCTCGGCATCGCTAGCCTGTCTGGCGCGCGCCCTGACGTAAGCGAACTACTTGCCAGGTGGACTGCAGCAAGGGCCCCGACAGCGACAAGCCGGCGTTCGCGGCCTGGGTGCGCGAGCTGAAGGAGGCCTTCAAGCCGCATGGCTACCTGCTGTCGGCCGCCGTCTCGCCCAGCAAGCAGGTTATCGACAATGGTCAGTGACGGACACGGCGCCAAGCCGCGCACCACAATCGCTCACCCTCTGCGGAGAGCTACAGCTAAATGGCTGGGAGCAGCTGTTTGAAATGTATTTATGGCCGATGACGCTTATCTGTCACTAGGAGTTGAAATTAGGTGTAGTTCGATGCAGCGCAGTTGCTTGATCCTTAAGCCTCAACCGTACGGCTACCGGCACATCATGCCACTGTCGTGGACGCAGTGACCCGTAGAGGGTCGCCTATCCAGAGCCCGAAGCCGTCATTTTCTGGGTTGGCTGCCGTTTATCTGTGATGCACCGCTGCACAGGGGTATGACGTGGCCGAGGTCAACAAGTACTTGGACTGGATCGCCGTCATGACGTACGACTTCCACGGCCACTGGGACAAGAAGACCGGACACGTGGCACTTTCGAGGCCCATCCTGAGGACGACTACGACTACTTCAACGTGGTGAGTTGCTCTCTGAGGGCATCGAAGCAGTACAACGTCCTATGAGCATGCCTGCTCTTCAAAGAGAAGGGGCAGTCGTACATGTAAGATGCAGCTATTTCTCGCCGTTGCGGCCGTTGCGAAGCGCACAATTTCGGCCCCCCCCCCCCTCCTCCACGATTGCCGCCGCTCTGAAGCGTAACCTTTCTGCCGCCCCCCCCCCCCCCCCCTTATGAAATGCTGGAGAGTACTTTTTCAGTGTCATCGTGTTGGTGGGAATCTGGGAAGTCCGGTGCCAATATCTACACATAAAACATCGCAAGCTATCATCAGTAGGTATTGTTGCAATGACAGACGTCGCAATACTTGATAGCTGCTTTTAATGGCGTACAACAGTGGTGAAGAAGGCGTGTATTGCGCTTGTCCTGCCGCTATATTCGGATTCTGCGATACGGAAACCTGCCGACCCGACCACCCCACTCAGCGAAGCGTTCTCTCCACAGAAATCAGCCATCGAGTACTGGATCGAAAAGGGCGCCGACGCCAGGAACATCGTGATGGGCATGCCGTTGTACGGCCAGTCCTTCACGTCTGACGAGCGCCTCCAACAACGGTCTGAACGCGCCCATCTCGGGTCCGGGCGCGGCCGGCGAGGCCACGCGCGCCCGCGGCTTCCTCTCCTACTACGAGGTGATAATTGCGGAGGTCGGACGACGCCCACACTGGCGCCGGATGCCGGAGAGCTGTGGACTGGAGCGCAGGCCTCGACGTCGTCTGCCCATGCATGCATGGGGGGTTATGTATCATTACAGTACACTCGCATTGGCAAATG